TCCCCTTCGCCAGCCCCGGCGCTAACCCCTGGGCCAAGGTCGCCGGCTCCAAGTTCACCCGGGACTTCATCCTCATCTCCGAGTTCTCGGAGCAGGTGGGGCCTCAGCCCCTCCTGACCATCCCCGATGATGCCAAAGTGTCGGGCACTTTCGATCTCAATTATTTTTCCCTTCGGATCATGTCTGTGGATTACCAGGCCTCCTTCGTGGGGCACCCTCCCGGCTCTGCCTACCCCAAGCTGAACTTTGTGGAGGATTCCAAAGTGGTGCTGGGGGACTCCAAGGAAGGGGCCTTTGCCTACGTCCACCACTTGACTCTCTACGACCTCGAAGCCCGGGGCTTCGTGAGGCCCTTCTGCATGGCCTACATCTCTGCTGATGAGCACAAAATCATGCAGCAGTTCCAGGAACTCTCTGCTGAGTTTTCCAAAGCCTCCGAATGCCTAAAGACAGGAAACAGGAAAGCTTTTGCTAATGAACTGGAAAAGAAACTGAAAGATCTGGACTACACCAGGACCGTCCTGCACAATGAAACCGAGATACAGAAGAAAGCCAATGACAAAGGGTATTACACAACCCAAGCCATTGAGAAGGCCAATGAGCTGGCCAGCGTGGAGAAGTCAATCATTGAGCACCAAGATCTGCTGAAACAAATCCGGTCGTATCCCTACAGGAAGTTAAAGGAGTCTGACTTCCACCCCTATGAGCCAGAGTCTCTGCTGGATCAGTCTGACACCAGCTGTGACCAGGGCCCCACTACCTCCGACGTCCCCGAGCCTGGTGAAACGCCCCTGTTTGCCCACCTGCCATCCTACACCCCCAAGCTCATCAAAGCCAAATCTGCCAAATGCTTTGACAAGAAGCTGAAGACACTGGAGGAGCTCTGTGATATTTATTTTTTCACTCAAACCCTTGACCAGTTGCATCAGATCGAGAGGACTTTCAGAGGTGATGTCTGCTACCTCCTGACTGACCAGATCAGCAAGGCTCTCTTGAAGCAACAAAGTGTCACTAACTTCCTCTTTGAGGACGTGTCTTTTCTGGATGAAAAGACACCTGAAAAACAGAGCAGAGGCTGCCAGGGGCTCAGTCAAGATGCTGTTGATAGAAAATGTTTGGAAGAGTCCCCTGCTCCTAAAGTGGTCATCAGCCTGGGATCCTACAAGTCCAGCGTGGAGAGCGTTCCCATCAAGATGGAGCAGGACATAGAGGACTCCCAAGAACCCCAAACGACCGGGTCGGTCACTTTTGAACAGCAGGACAACCTGGACTATCTCGACGCGGATATTAAAGGCAGCATCAGCAGCGGTGAGAGCATCGAGGTTCTGGGGACGGAGAAACCCACCTCAGGCCTGACGAAATCGGAGAGCCAGGCCAGCCTCCCTGTCAGCCCCAGCCCCCAGGGGGGCCGCAGCAAGGTGGGCAGCCGACGGACCGTCAGCGAGGACAGCATCGAGGTTCTCAGCAGCTGTCCCTCCGAGGCACTCATCCCGGAGGATTTCAAAGCCAGCTACCCAAGTGCCATTAACGAGGAACCTTACGTGGATGGTGAAGAGGGAGGCCTTCGTTTCACCCCCAAACTAAACCTGGATGACACCGACGAGCAGGAAGATGTTTTGAACCAGGAGAACTTGGAGCAGGTTGATTCTGCCTGTTGTATCGGGAAGGAGAGTCCCGGTTTCCTGGAGCCCCTGTCTGCACTGGGCCAGAAGCCCTGCGAGGAGGATGGGGTGGTGAGGATCCCCCCGCAGCCGTACCGGGCTGAGCCGGGGCTGCACGGGGGTTTCCCCTCCCATGATGGCATCTCGGGGGGGCTCCTTCCTTACGAGCTCGACTCGCGCTACCTGGCGGGCAACAGGGAGGTCAGCAAGAGCAGCCTGGACGAGTGCTCTGATTCCACCAGCTACATCAGCAGTGCTGCCTCCACCTGCTCTGACCGGACCCCTTCTCCTGCCCACCTCTCCCGCCAGGCGAGCGAGAGGCACAAGAAGAAGGCGGGGCAGAACGCGCTGCGGTTCATCCGGCAGTACCCCTTCGCCCACCCTGCCATCTTCTCCCTGCTCAGTGGCAGGACCCTGGTGGTGCTGGGGGAAGAGGAAGCCATAGTCAAGAAGCTGGTGACGGCGCTCTCCATCTTCGTGCCCAACTGTGGCATGGACGTCAAGCCCGTCAAGCACTGGGTTGCTTCCCCTCTGCACCTCGTGGATTTCCAGAAGTGGAAGTTGATCGGACTCCAGAGGTAAATGGAGAGTCTGTTTGTTTTTAGATCAGAGTCAGGTATGTGTGTGATTAAAATTTGGTTTCCTGATCAAGCTGAAGATGTCCCTGCTCACTGCAGGGGAGTTGGACTAGATGACCTTGAAAGGTCCCTTCCAATCCAAACCATTGGATAAGGGAGGGGAGTAGGTGTGCAGGGGTGGTCTCTGTCTAATTATCTACACAATTGCCATGAATTTCTGCTTCTGGGGTATATTTTGAAGGGGTGTAGATTTGTCTGTCTCTTTATTTGAGAGTTAATATTTGAATTATCTCCTGTGTCCTTGCTGCCTGGGTCTTACAAGTTACTTGGCCTTGGGGTTTCTTTCTGGTTTCAGTCTTAGCCTGGCAAAGCACAGAACAAACGCTCAAGTCCCTTTGGTTTCCTGGATGGTCCAAGTGCTCCTGGAGTCCCCTCACATACTCTGTTTTCCCTTGTCTTCTGTTGAAACTCTTCCAATATTTGTGGGTAGAATTCTGTTTTTGAAATGACTAATTAGGTATGGGGAAGGTTTTTCCTTGTGGACCCTGATGAAGAGATGATGCACTGTTGAGATCAGGAGGTCAGAAATTGGAGTGCCAGCACCTTGGGCGGTGTTGGCAAGGGTGTTGTGAGGGAGGGCAGAGCCTGTGGAGCTGCTGGGCTCTTTTCAGGGGGTGCAGGTGGATGTAGACTTATTTGTAAGAAGGAAAAAAGGTCCGTGGAGCTGTGTGGGCCATAGTGTTGGGATTGCAGTTGTGGTACAAAGGAAACCTCTGCTTGGGGTGAGGAGCATGGAGAGAGCACACACCCCTTCCCTGACACCCAGCTCTGAATGTGGCTTCGTGGTTTGTATTCACAAGAAGCCATTGCTCAGCTCTCAAGATTTTGGCCCTGCCTTTGTTGCTGGTATGAAAAGGATTTTCTGTGAGTGTTACCAGGATGTGTTCGGGTGCAGGTGTGACAGGGAGTGGCTGTTACTGTCACCAAAGTGGCAAGCAGGAGTCAGAGTGGGCAGCCTGTGGCACAGAGCTGGGCTGCAGCAACTCCTGACAGAGTGCTGCTGAGTGGCAGGAGAGCCAAAATACAGAAATCTGCGAAACACAGGAATCTGGGCTGCTGAATATTGCGTTGCTGGAGGTTGTGGATGATGAAATTATCCTGACCTGCCAGTTTACCCCAGTTCTGTGTTCGGGAAGCAGGATGGCGTGTCCGGGTGCAGTTGTGACAGGGAGTGGCTGTTACTGTCACCAAAGTGGCAAGCAGGAGTCAGAGTGGGCAGCCTGTGGCACAGAGCTGGGCTGCAGCAACTCCTGACAGAGTGGTGCTGAGTGGCAGGAGAGCCAAAATACAGGAATCTGGGCTGCTGAATATTGCGTTGCTGGAGGTTGTGGATGATGAAATTATCCTGACCTGCCAGTTTACCCCAGTTCTGTGTTCGGGAAGCAGGATGGCAGCTCTGCCAACAGCTGCTCCCAAACGTCTCTGTCTGTCAGGGAGGTTTTTAAAAGCCCCAAGTGTTGACTTATGGCTCAGTGTTTGTGGTTAAATGCCATTTTTATAAACAAAAGTAATCCATTTTAAATTTTTTTAAAGAACTGCTTGTAATGGTGTCAGTCACTGAAACTCTCCTCTCTGGAATGTTAATTAAGTGCTGAGCTTAAGATGTGAGTGTTTTTTCAGCAAACCCTTTGTGCAAGGGCTTTGGGAAGGAACTGAGAGGCTAAATTAATTATTCTGGTGAGGGTGCTGCATCTCCCAAGGTCAGGCACAGCCTGGGAGCAGGGACAGCCCTTACAGCCACAGCTGGGGCTCCCACTTTGGGGCTGGGAGCTGGATCTCAACCGAGCGACTTCAACCACGCAGAATCGAGGAGCAGAAGGTAAGAGTCTGCGTAGGCTTGTGATTTGCATTTAAATAACATGAATTTAGGCTTGTTGGATAATTGGGTGTTGTGAACATGCTGTGGGGTTGCACCTGAGTGAAAAATGCCCAGGCTCATCCAGGGAATGTTCTGTTTTAAGGGTGTTTTGAAGGAAGGGCAGAAGGTTTTGCTATGCTCAGGGCTTTGACCACCTCAGAGCAGTTCCCTCCCAAAAAGCCATATGAGGAGCTCTTGGCAAGGAGGGTCTGGTCTGAGTTTTTGGATCCTTGCTGTCATGTGCCAGCTACTGCAGGGTTTGCTGCTGGTCACCAGAGATGTCTTTTCCCTCCCTCTCCATGTCACCGAGGGAGGAAGCTGCCCCGAGGCACAGTGGTGTATGGAGCAGCACGTGTGTGGTGGGTTTCTTTGGGATCTGCCAAGCTGGAGCGACAATTTGGCCAGTCTCTTCCATGCTAGACTTGACCTGCCCACAGAGGGGCTCGCAGCTCATGAGGTAAAATGAGTGTGACACAGGAGCACAGGCACAGTCTGCTGCTTGGCTGCCTGGTCCCTTCCAGCCATGACCCCTCTGTCCTTGCTGTTCCAGGGTGGTGTCCCCTGCTGGGGTGAACGTGCTGCACGCCCTGAGCCGGTACAGCCGGTACCTCAGCATCCTGGACGCTGACAGCAAGACCCTGCGCTGCCCGCTCTACAAGGGCACCCTGGTGTCCCGGCTGGCCGACCACCGCACCCAGATCAAACGGGGAAGCACCTACTATATGCACGTCCAAAGTATCCTCACCCAGCTGTGTTCAAAAGCCTTCCTCTTCGCCTTCTGCCATCATTTGCACCTTCCCATCAGCGAAAGGGAACCGGAGGAATCTGTTGTGAATCGCAGGATGAACTTTCTGAAGCTTCAGCTGGGCCTTGCCAACGAAGATGTCAAGATTGTTCAGTATTTAGCTGAGCTGCTGAAGCTGCAGTACATTCAGGAACCCGACCAGGGGGTGAACCCTCTGCTCAGATTTGACTATGTTCCCAGCTTTTTGTACAAAATCTAGCCTCTTGTGGGGCTGTCTGCCTGCGTCCTCAGAGCCTGACACAGATCACCCGTGCTTGACATTGCCACAGCTCTCACACATCAGGAAGGGGCAGAGAAGCTGATGCATTTGCAGGCATCTCTGCTCCACAGAAATCAATGTCTGGGGGACTGGTTTTCCCGTAAGGTTCTGTGTAGCCAAGAATGTAGGTGTTCCATCACATAAAACACGTGGCACTCTGGTTTTAAGTGTTAGAAGGGGTAGGATGAACTTACAAAATGGGTCATGGCAGCGTCCCAGGGGGATAATAGTGTGGAGGGAGAGATGGGCTGTCTTGGGGATCAATATGTAGTAGTGTGCAGCCCCCCCCCCCCAGTAACACAGTGCTCTGCAAGCTTCTGCCAGAGCCCTAAATGCTGTTGGTCCCTTCCTTGGAGCCAGCCAGGGTGGAGACCAGAGGGGAGATGTAAAGGCCACAGGAAGTTTTTTAAGTCACCAGTGTCTCACATGAGTGTGAGCTCCCAGGCAGGGTGGCAGGTTGCAGTTACCCATCCGTGCACAGCAGGTCCCTTCCTGCATTTTCTGAGTTTCCTGGGGCTTCCCAGGGTGGGTTGTCCCTGGGCAGGTGGGAGAGCAGTGGAGGCACATGTGCTTCTCTCCAGAAAGCCTTTGCCAGTTTCTGTCTGCTTTGTCAAAATCTGGAATGTGGAAGGACTCCTTGACACCAGCGAGCACCGAGGTGCCTGCTGCTGGGAATGTTGAGCACTGTGCCTTGTTCATTTGCTGGGAGACCTCCAAGAACGGTGGGAGGGAGACTGGGAATCCTCACAGTGTGTGAGGTCGATAGTGGCCTTTTAAAAAGAGAGAGGAGAACTGAACAGAGTGGGGACACACACACACCTCCCCTAATTTTTGGGTGCTTTTTGTGATGGAGAAACAAACAGTGCAATTCAGCTGCAGCTACGCTGTGAGACAGCAGGCTGGGGAGATGTAAGAGCTCAGGAGACACCGGGGATGAATGTGCTGGATTCTGTGTTGTATCAGTCATAGTTTCTTTCGGGTTTTCTTTTTTGGTCAGGGAGTTGACTTTTGTGCTGTGTGGTAGAGCAGGGTCAGCGTTGCTCCCTGCTGCTTCTGGCTGAGTCTCTGTCGTGTCTCAACTACCTCTCCCAAGCCGCTCCTGGATGGGGCAGAACTGTACCCTCTGACCCTGAATGCTAAGGACTTCCCTTGCAAAGCTTCTGTGCCACTTGCCTGTGCCATAAAGGTTGTGCCACCAGCACAGTGGCACTCCCAGGTTGTTCCTGTCAGTGCCGAAAGCTTTGTGCCCAAGCACAGTGCTTCCCTCTGGAGTCTCATTGGAGATGCCGCTCCTTGGCCACTGGTCCTGGGCTGCTGTTTGCTCTCCCTGGAGCCACATAGTGGTAGCAGCCCCTGTGGTACTTCTAAGCAAGGAAAGTCTTGCTAGAAATTATATCCTTGGTTTTATTTCTTGTTGTCAGTCTTCTGATGATGGGGTGAGAACAGGTGAGATTATGTTGATGGGTTGTTCAGGTTGGGTTTTATTAAAATCTCCGTTTATTGTGATGGTGTGAGGCAATGCTGGAGATGAATGGGATGTTCCTTCCATGTCCAGGGTGGTTTCTGTGGACAGGGTGGGGTTAGATCCCACTGAAACTTGATGTGAGAGCAGCACTGCTCTGAAACCTGTGTCCTGAGAGCAATTAGGCTCCATGTGGAGGCTGTCACTTGGCACCAGCATCCACCCTTCAGATGCCTCTCCCCTGGAAAAGGCTCTTGGGGTAGTGCTGGAGGTATCAACCAGCAGGGTAGAAGGGCTATTTTTAGATGTTAACATTGGTTCTGGTGGCTTACAGTGGGGCTCAGCCAGGCAAGTTGAGTTTGTGGTACTTCTCCAGGGGGATTTCTAAGGCCAGGGGTTGCTTGTGGTGGTGTTCTCAGGTCGCAGTTGGGGTACAACGTGGCATCACCTTCACCGAAGGAGAGCAGTGTGCCTGTGTGGAGCTGTGTGCCTTTGGAGTGTGTTTGAAGGCCTTTTCCTTCCCTAACCATGTCCTCCTGCCACATGTGAGCTGGGTCTGCTGGTGAAAGGCTTCTGTGTCCGTTGAAAATGCCTGCTTTTTCAAGTGACCTGAGGTGTCCCCTTGTAGATCTGCCTGCACCCCAACAGCTCCCACACTATCGCTGAGGCAAGATTCCCAGGGAAGGGGACACTGGGCAGAGCAGGTGACACTGGACAGAGCGAAGCTTCCTGTGTGGGAGCTTTTTTCCTGCTGGAAAATGACCTGATGCTGTTTGGGTTTCAGGAGGGAGGTGAACCTTTTTCCTACTGACCCATGTCTTCCTCCAGGCTGACAGTGCAGAGCAGAATGGGTGGTTAGTGCTGACTGATCCCATCATCACAGTGGTCTCTACTGGTGGCATTTGGCTGTGCTCATAAATTGATAAATAACTTGCTTCTTGTTGCTCCCTCTATCTAACCTGTAGTATCTGGTATTTGAGGCTGCATTGAGCAATACTTGCACTACCCCTTGTCTGACCTGCTTCATCTCTTCACCACAGAGCAGCTCTGATCTGGGAGGAGGCCCTGGGGGCTTTGCTGGGACTGTCACTCATTTCCAAATGGGAGCTCCGTGCTGTCTGCAACTCAAACAGGAGCTGTGGAGAAACACACCTTGGAGTACTTGAAGCTCCTGTAGCTTGCTCATGGCTGGGTCACCTTGGAGCTCAGACTGCAGGGAAAGGGGAGGTATGTCAGGCTGTGGCACCTTGAAGCAGCCAGATCGCAGCCTGTCCTCGCTACTCGTGGTGCCTGTAACCGCAGCAGAAATGGGGAAGAGGCCAAATGCAGCAGGTGGTTCAGGAGCCAAATTCCTTTTTGCTCAGTAATTGCTCTGCCTCACCTCCTGCTCCTGTACAGTAAAGATCCCTATACAGGCACTTTAAGACTTTCTCCTCATCTTCACTGTGGTACCTCACCAGTTTCAGATGTTCCCAGACTTGCAACAAGTTACAATCTGCTCCAACAGCTCCCCTGATGGACCTTGGCAGGTGTGTTGGTCGCTGTGTCTGTCCAGCTGTTGTCCCACCAGAGCAGGGCAGGTTCCTGCAGCCACAGTGCAACACTGGCCAGCCTAGGGGGACAGCAGTGCCATGCACAGCCCTCACCTGCTTCTGTGAGTGCTGCCCCTGCCTCCTACTCTGCCAGCTCCCTCTCTCTTTACTGGCTGTCAGAATTCTCTAATGGAGAATTGCTTACAGGGAAGGTCTCCACCAGCCATCTACTCCCTGGCTGGGAGGGCAGGGCTCCATTTTCTTACTCCTCCACTTTGGGAGAGGGAGCCACCAGCCCCTGCTCTGTGCTACATTAGCCCCTGCTTTCAGCCCCCACCCCAAGAGGGTCAGCCATAGGAGCAGGCAGTATTAACCCTTCACAGGTCTCATTTCTCAGAGAACAGTGCTTGGATTTACTTTCATCCAGTAGCAATCACTTGTAAGCAGCTCCAAAGCTGCCTTGCCTTGACTGGGGGAGTACTGCCTATACTCTAGCAATATTCACCGTTTGGGAAGGGGTGGGAGAGGTGCTTGAGGGGTGAGAGCTGATGGCTCCATTCCCCCAGGCCTGTGTTTTGGTTTTCATAGAATCATAGAATGGTTTGAGTTGGAAGGGACCTTGAAGATCATCTAGTTCCAACCTCCCTGCATGAGCACGGGCACCTTCCACTAGACCAGGTTGCTCAAAGCCCTGTTTTTATTGAGCATGGGGGACCCTAAGCCCTCAGCTGAGTGGTAGGTGACCGCCCATGCTGTGGGTTCAGCATCTTGGAGAGCTGGGCAGCACCTGGGGCTTGTAGCAGCACTTTAAAAAGGCTGGATTGTGCGATGGGAACACCAGTGAGGTGCAGGAGAGCACCTGTTCCCTGCAGTACCCCAGTAGCACAGTGTCAGAGTGACAGACTGTACCCCAAAATCACTGGGATCACAAACCCACTGGTCCCTGAGACGTGTTTTAACTGGAAGGCAGAAACACAGGGTATCCAATCCCTCTGGCCACCTCACTGCCAGGGTGGGGCTCGGCTGGGAGCGGCCTCCGGGAGCTGGCAGGAAGCTGGGAGGAATTCTCATCTTATTTTAAAGCACTGTATCCTATTCCTGCATGTGGAGTTCTGTGTGTGTGTGTGTGTGTGTGTGTGTGTGTGTGTGCCCGTGCGTGCTGAGTGTGTCCCTAGTTAGAGCGAGTGTGAATGGGGAGAAACCCCAGAAGCATGTCTCAGTGTCGTGCTCTAAGTGTCACTGCACAAGAGTTTAACAGATGTTAATGCCAAATGACTAGTCTGAGAAATGTACTTTTAAAAAACAAAAATTATTTATTTGGGTTCAGGTATTTTTTGAAATACAAAAAAAAAAAAAATTGGTTGTATTTTTTAAAGCTTATAATTCTTGTCATACGTTGTGGTTAAATTCTTCATTTTACTGTGCTTATTAAAAAATGGTTCTACCTAAGGGTTTGTGCTCAGAGGTCTGAGGAAATACCTGAGACACTGGCTGAGATGGGATGGTGATCCCAGAAAGGCTGTTCTCAGGGATTCTGGGACAAGGCTTGGCCTTATCGAAGCTGCAGAGACTGGAAGGCACAAAAGGAAGTTCTCAAGGTGGGAGCCAGGTAGGGATTGAGTGGCTGTGAGGTCTCTGGTGCAGCTGAGCACAGTGCCTGGCTCACAGGGGTATGGGGGGTGGACCCCTGTGTCCCTCCTCATGCTGTGGGCAGGGGCCTCTGGCTTGAATTTGGGCTTAAATCTCGCCTGCAGCTCCCACAGCCAGTGAGTGGGATTGAACCTGGCCCTGAGGGTCACTGTAACACTGGTGAGAGGGCTGGTTTCCTTGTAGGGGGGCTTCCCCAAGAGGGAGAGGAGAGGGGGGTAAGAGCTGAACCAGGAGCCACTGCTGCACTGCAGCCAGTGCCAGCAGGGAGGTGCTGGGAGAAGGCACTGGGGTGTTGGGTCTCAGGCTGGGGGTGCAAGTGTGCATCTGTGGCTCCAGGAGCGGCTTGGGGGCCTCCCCTTACAGGACAGGCAGCCCTGGGAGTGGGAAGGTGGCTGCAAAGGCTTCCACCTCTTCCTTCAGTGCCTTCAGCTCCCTCACATATTTCTCCTCCTCCAGTTTCTCTTTGAATTCCTTCAGCGTGGCCTTGGGGCTCATGTCCTTCTGCACACGCAGTGTCAGCTCGATCCCTGCCAGGATGGGACACATTGGTCAGACATTGTGGCTGCAACACATCCCGCTGCATTCCCAGCCAGGCCGCAGGGAGCCCTCCCCAGCTGCTGGAGAAGAGGAGCTGCCCTAACCCCAGGACTACTGCTGGAGCTGAGACTTGGCCCTGCACACACTCTCCCAGCCTCACCTTTGTGGATGTACTGAGCCACCTTGCGGAAATCGTCCTGCCGGAAGCCGCGGGAGGTGAGGGCCGGTGTCCCGAAGCGCAGCCCGCTGGGGCGCAGGGCGCTGATGTCACCTGCACCAGAACAAGTCATACCTGACCAAACCTGGTACCAAAACCACCATGCAGGGGATTTCAGCCTGGTTCCCAGTGCCTGGAGTGAACTGGGAGCTGGGAGCTCTGTGGGAAGCTCTGTGAGGGCCATGGGACATCCCCAGTGTGCAGGGGTGGAACTTGTGGGGTCCCTCACCAGGGCACGTGTTCTTGTTGCAGGCGATGGAACAGAGCTCCAACACCCTCTCAGCCCGGCCACCATCTGTGCCTCTGCTGCGCAGGTCCAGGAGAATCAGGTGGTTGTCAGAGCCCCCTGGAAGGAGAAGGTTTTGCTGAGGGATGTGATGTTGGGGCAAACGCTGCACCCGTGCCAGAACTCGAGCAAAAAAGGCTTGGGATGGCACTGGGGTCTGCCCTGTGTTTTGGAGGCAGAAGGGGGGCTGCTTCCAAAGAGTTTTGTGGCTGTTCTGAGGAATACAACAGCAGAGCCCTGCCCATCATATCCGTGCATTTGCTGCCTTTGTGGCCTGGCTCAATCCCAGCCACAGGAAGCCCCATCCCACTGCCTAGACCCGTCCTTACCCGTGACGATGTCGTAGCCCAGCTCCATCAGTGCTGTGGAAAGTGCCCTGCAGTTGGCGACCACCTGCTGCTGGTAGGCCTTGAACTCGGGGGTCATGGCCTGCTGCAGAGCCACAGCAATCCCTGGGGAGGAAGGGGTGAGCTGGCAGGGTGAGCTGGTGGGGATGTGTGGCACCACCACCAGCAGACATCCTGGAAGCTGAGCAAACTGATTGGCAGTCCCTTCCCAGGCTGGTGGCAGTGCCGTGAGCCAAAAGGCAGGATGGGAAAAGCCTGGTCACTCAAAGGTGATGCTGGATCAGGCCAGCTGCTCCTTGCTGCAGGATCTCCAGGCTGCAAGCTCCTGGGGCAACTGCAGCCCCCTGCGCTGCTGCTGGGGGTCCCAGCCCAGCCAGGACACCTTTGGTGGCTCCCTGGGCCATCCTGGAGCTGGTGGCCAGCCCAGGTGCATACCTGCGATGGCGTGGTTGTGTGGGCCTCCCTGCAGCCCAGGGAAGACTGCCTGGTTGATGAGGCTCTCCAGGTTGTAGAGTGTTTCCTTGCCTGTCTTGGGGTCCACGCTGCGGGTGCCTATGGGAGGGGTTCAGGGTCACTCAGGAGGCAGCTCAGCCTCATTTTTCCCACCCCTGTCTTCTCGGGGATTATGGTTGTCTCTCTTCAAATCTGGGCCACATCTGGCCCTGGGAAGCTCCTCAGATGCTCCTAGAAGACCTCAGACCTTCCTGCCCTCCCTCCTTCCCAGCCAGAGCAGGAAGAAGCTTTAACTTGCACCCGCCCACATTTCTCCCCGCTCCCCAGCCGGGTCAGGCACCTTTACGGTAGAAGATCATGCCAGCTCTGCAGCCCCTCAGTGTCTTGTGGGTGGTGGTGGAGACAACGTCGCAGTGGTCGAAGGGGGAGGGCACCACCCCAGCAGCCACCAGCCCGCTGATGTGGGCCATGTCAGCCATCAGGTAGGCACTGTTGTCGTCCGCGATCTTCCGCATGCGGGCGTAGTCCAGGTTGCGGGAGTAGCAGCTGACACCTGCGGGGAGAGGGCACGTTGGGGGGACAGCAGCAGATGCTCCAGGGCCTTGGGACAGCCCCAGGTGAGGACAGCACACAAGCTGCCAGTGCGGATGTGTTAAAGGTCTCCTGATGGTGCTGTAGCAGCTACAGGCTTTCCAGGGTGCTGCTGGCTTCAGGGAGACACCCCTGCCCAGAGCGAGTCACCAGGGAGGTCTGTAAGGGATTGATCCTCACCTGCTACGATCAGCTTGGGGTGGAAGAGGCGGGCGTTCTCCTCCAGCCGGTCATAGTCAATGTAACCAGTCTTGGGGTTGACCTGGGAGAGGAAGAGGAGCGTTCAGCCTTCTTGGTATGGGTAAAGATCAGCTGCAGTGCCAGCCTGCAGGAGAGAGTACCAGGAGCCTGACACTGCACTTATGAGGACCACATCCTGGCTCTGGCTGGAGTAGCTCTCTGTACCTTGTAGGGCATGGACTCGAAGAAGACAGAGGTAGCAGAGATCTTCTTCTTTTCTGTCATGAACCCGTGGGTGAGGTGGCCCCCATCAGGCAGGTCCAGCCCCATGATCCTGCCGTGGGGCTCCACCAGTGCCGTGTACACCGCGAAGTTTGCTGGTGACCCTGCAGCGGGAGCACACCGGGCTCGTTATGGGTGCTGGGGTGACCTGGTGCAGCTGCCCCAGCTCTGGGAGCACTCTGTTACCTGAGTAGGGCTGAACATTGACCCCCCACTTCTGGGGGTCCAGCCTGTAGGCCTGCAGGGCTCGCTTCTGGCACAGCCTTTCCAGCTCGTCTACAAACTCTGTCCCTCCGTAGTACCTGGAGGTAAAGGATGGGGCAGGGGTTAAACCAAACCCTGTGACCAAGCTGTGGAGAACCCAGTGATACTATGGTTGCAGCAGCCACCAGGACAGCAGCTGCAGATATGACTCTGCTGAGAGGCCATGCATGGCCAAGAACAGAAGCTGAGAGGGTCAGATCCTGCCCTGGAACAGCTTGGCTGCCAGCACCAGGTTGTCACTTCCTCTCCAGAGGTGAGGTCTAGCAGCATGGGTGGTTCCTCCCCTCCCTGCCAGGGTTTGGTTGAGTGGGACTCTGCCCCAGTCCCTACCTTTGCCCTGGGTAGCCCTCAGAGTATTTGTTGTTCATGCAGGATCCCAGGGCCTCCAGGACCGCTCGGCTTGCAAAGTTCTCCGATGCAATTAACTCCAGCCCCATCTTCTGTCGCTGCTTCTCCTTCTTGATGATGCTGTGCACCTTTGGAAGGGGAGAGGAACAGCTTCACCTGTGCTGGCTCTGCATGGAGATGTGGATGCTCCACCACAGGGGACAGGGGGACAGGGCATGGAGAAGAGCCTGGAAAGGTGCTGGAGAAGGGGGGAGATCCCTTCTCAGTACAGCTGATCCCAAATAGTTGATATGTTCAGTCACAGGCCACATTTCAGGTTTGGAGCTGCCAGATAATTCAGCTGTAATTTGGGCTGGAGAGTCAAGGACAACTGCCACATGGCCTGGTGGGCTGGCTGCTGTGGTGTGGGCATTGGAGCTTTGAGGAAAGGGGGATGAGCAGCTGATACAAAGTTCTGACCATATTATGGGCACAGGGTTGGAGGATGCCCTCCTTCTCTACCTCTTGCTGCAGGTATAGAGGGCATGGAGGACGGATGGGTCCCACCAGCTCAGCTTTGGACCATCTCCCTGCCACATCCCTGGCTCGAGGAGGTCAACAGGTCCATGGCTGCCCAGGGGATGAACGAAGCAGCTGCTGGGCAGGAGCCAGGACAGGGCTCTCACCTCGGGGTCATTGCTTTCCAGCGGCTCCAGCACCATCCTGTTATGGGAGGCCCAGAGCTCCGCGCTGGGGAGGCTCCCAACACCCTGCATTGAGTTTGCCATCCTCCTGCTGTGTCCAAGGTCACCTGCCAGGGAGATGTGAGTCTGTAGGATGGGCTGGGATGGCAGCAGGGCTGGGGGCCTCCACACTGCATCCCTGTCTGCCTGCTCCCATCCCCCCTCTTCCCTGGAAACACAGAGGAAAACTGAGCAAGGAAAACACAGGCAACTCTCAGGCTTCCCACCCTCATTTCATACCAGCTCATTAATCGTAGTGCTTTGATAATTTCTGATACTCTCCCAACACCACCTGCCAGGGCTGCCCTGGCCCAGTTCAGCACTTGACCAAGCACTTGGTGAAGCCACGCACGGACTGAAGCAGATCAGTGCCACAAGCAATGCCTGGACATCTGTGAGTCCTAGGGCTTCTAGGAAGTGTTAGCAAACACTCTCATGGACACAACGGTGTCTTATTAAAATTGCTGTTGAATATCAAGGGCAGTGAGGTGCTCATGCCCACAGACCTGAGTTTTTAAAGTGTGTTACGTTGCCTCTCAGCTACTTTCCCTTGTGTATAGCCCTGAGGACAGACCCCCAGCAGGTCAGAGTCCAGCCCCAGATCCTAACTGAAGCAAGCACGGCTCATTGGCAGCAGCTCTGCCTCAGCTTGACTCCTGGGCAGGTGATGCCCAGGCCTGGCAGCAGCCCCTCCAGCCCCCTTGTTTGACAGCTCGAGCACTGTAATGCAGAGCACAAGCTCAAGGGCAGGCGTGGCAGCCCAGCTTCTGCCTTGGCTGGAACAAAGCATCTTTGTACTCATTAACCCCGCAAGGCCAGCGAATGGGCCGTGAGCAGGTTATTAAGCAATCGCACTGGGTTTGCTTGTGCCAAGCTGCTGAAGTCCATCCAGGCAGGCCCGCAGGACGCTGCCCTGCTGCTCCTCAAGCCCGGGGGACTCGCTGGCAGGGAGGGAGTCCCCAGTGGCTGAAACGCTGGGACGAGAAGAGGAAAAGGCTGCGAGGGGAAGGGCAGGGAGCAGCGCTTCGGCTTGGAGCGGGACACCCGGCTGTGCCGTGTCCCTCCCGCACCGGCAGCACAAGCACCCAGCGCTTTGGGCAGCCCCGCAGAAGGCTCAGGGGGGACAGAGTGCCCATTCCCCACCCAGACCCCCATCTCCACCCCCGTGATGGGCCACCACTCCGGGACACCCCGGCAGTTCACCTGAGGCTCCATCCCC